TAACCCAGTAACAACTAATCAACAACAACAACAAAAAATAGTTTACATGACCACTTCAAGCTACAACATGCACACACAGAATACGGAAAATATGAGGGAAAAACGGAGAGTGAGATACAGGTCATCATTACCAATGCCAGAAAACAGAAATTTACAATAACAAAAACAGTTGATAAAGTTCGGTTGTTGTTTTCGGTACATATTTGTTGTTTTTCAAATATTTTTCCACTTAACCTAATTTTTGAAAGCTGTTTTGAAAAACATCATAGTAACCATTCGCACCCACAAAGTCTCACTCACTCACAGAGTTAGAAAATGGTGAAATTTAATAACAATTCAGAAAATATATATGTATATATACATTGAAGTGTTTCTAATGCAAGAAAGAACTACAGCAACACATATATGGGAAAATGCAACACATGAATGCCATTGAGAGAAAAAAAATTATAACTCAAGTGAAAATACTGCAGAAAAACTACTGTAACACTTTGTCCAGAAAAAAATAAAAAAATTAAAATTACAGAGAAAAAATATATATAAAAAATACATAAACATGAACATGTGTCTGTGTGTATATATGAGTTTGTGGATCACACAACCACTTACAAAGTGTAGGGACAACAACTGCATTGCCAACTACCATAACCTAACAAATATATATTGTGATGGGGCATAACCCAACATCATGTTGAAAGTCAGCATAACATTTTTTTTTTGTTCCTAACACATCCCTGCCCGAAATAGTGAACGAGAAGAGGAAAAAAACAACAATAACGCTCAAAACTTAAACATAAACACAACTCTGGTTGATATAGTTACACAGCTTGACTGGTCACGATGCAACCGTCGAATCGTACTACACATCTCTGAATGTGGAGAATTACAAATGGGTTATGGATTTTAGCATCAACTCTTTTATAACATTTCACCCTTATGAAATTACCTAAGGGGCTAGGTTCCAACATTTTGCCATTGCCTCTTCACATGTGTTCACATATTGTATATATGTAGTTACTCTCTCCCGTTTTTCTCTAACCATAACACAAACGCACTTACTAACTGGATTTTGCAAAACTCTGAAACATGTTAGAGGCAAGAGACAAGCGTGGTCTGTTACGACCATGACCAACACTTCATGTCACTGTGGTCGTCATGGGCCACTTGCCAACAACGTTTGTTTGTGACCCTTCACACAATATATAATATCCGCACATACAAAACATGTTTTCAGTGGTGGCGATGGTGGCGGGGTTGGAACGCATATATAATGTCATAGTGGTCGGTTGGTGGATGGCTAACACTTGTGACTTTTTTCAGTGGCGTTGTTTTTCCAATTCTTAGTAAAACAAATACAAAAAAAACAGCGGACAGCAAATTTAATAGGGCTTAGGACAATTCTTGGAACATGTGATGCGCGTAAAATCGGATTTTTGTACATAGATCTACAATTTTAGATATCAACAGCGAATGGTGTTATTTTGTTTTTTTTTTTCAAACCTATTTTACATGGTATACTTTTAGGCATAAAATGTGAAAATAGAACGGATCATTAAAACGCTGATATTTGAAAACATGGACTTAAAACGAAAAAAAGTTACACAGGTGTACTTACACTTCAAGAACCCTTAATGCAAATTATAGCCAATTAGTTTGGAATAATATGGCTTCAGAATACCTTGATCTTTGATTTTTCTCTTGAACACATAGTGCCAAATTCATTCATGGTTCATTGATGGTGGCTTATACCTTCAAAAAATTTATGAGAGACCTTTATATGGGAACTAAGTCAAACATTATCCTGAATAAGTTTCAGTTAGGCAAGAGTCATGACTGACATACAAGGCAAAAAAAAAAAAACAGTGAGGAAAGTAGTAAAGTCGGACTGGGCCGACTATATGATACCCTTCACCAATTTTGGTATGTTGTACATATGTATCCTTACCATTGTAAGGATACAATGTTCCCTCGAAGGAACATACTCATGTCTTTCTGCAACCTATGATAAATTTAATTTCATTCGGGCAGATTTAGAGTCGTTTGCGTACCATGTGGCAAATTTATGGAAAACGATTTATAGCAAAATTGATACAAGCTATCCTAGACTCAATTCAGTAAGATATGCCAAATTTCGTGGAAATCGAAAAATATAAAGGGTCTTTGATGCAACATTTACATTAAATCGGACGAAAATATATATGGGAGCTATATGTAAATCTGCACCGATTTTCTCCAATTTCAATAGGGTTCGTCCTTGGGCTAAATAATTGAACTGTGCCAAATTGCATTCAAATCGGATCATAAATGCGACCTGTACTTTGTTCCAAAAAATACGTGGGCGGAGGGATGGGCAGACGGACATGCAAAATCGACTCAGAAAGTGATTCTATGCATATTCTCAAAAGGAAACATTTGTTTATGCTGTTACAATCATATGCACAAAGACATAATACCCTGTACCACAGTATGGTATGGTAAAGGGTATAATTAATATCCACTCCATCTTATTGTCAGCATATTGGGCGTATACTTTATTTACTGTGAATTAAGGTACTACCAATAATTATCATACACCACCCTGTTCGGTGGAGACAATTCGTTTTATGAAATAATAGTATACTAGTATTATTAACTGGTTTTGATTCTCAAAAGATTATAGATTTTTAGTATTATATTTCAATAAAAGAACAGATACATAAGCAGTGTTCATATTATAAAATTCTTAAAATAGTGCATTTATTACTACTTTGTAATACAAATATTTATAAATATTTTATGGCAAATCAATGTTAAATTTTTGTATATTATTATTTCCATCCTCAAAGTGTCACAAGTACTTGGCATGACAATCAAATGCAAGCAAAAACTCACACATACCAACAAACATCATTATATTTGATGGGCATAGTAAATTGCGTTTTTTTGTTATGTGACATTTATTACACATTTCATTAAATGATAGCATCATCTATGGTGGCCTACTATTATAAAATTAAAATGCAGAAAAAAACAACAGGCCAACCATTACAGAGGCTTCATATAAATGCAAAATATTGTTATGCCTGTAAACAGTATGTATATGAGTCAAACAATGCAGTTATAGTTCTGATGACGACGACTCCTTGACATCGGCCATATTTTATAAACATAAATTTTGTAGATAAAAACCTCTCATAAACATAGTATAGTGTAAAAGCCACAATAGCCTGTCCTGTGTTTTATACATGAATTGTGGCTGTCAGTGCAATATTGTCAATGAAGTGTATTTGTGTTTTCAGATAAAAAAAAATCATATTTATGAAAATAGTTGACCACTTAAGTCCTTGACCTCTCTTTTTTAGATATACACATATTTTTGGATTGGCTTTTGTATTAAAAATGTTGGTGGTTTATAACATGGCGGTAATATTTATGGATACCTTTTTGGTTTTAATAGTTAACATATCGCAAAAACTGATTTAAAGGATAGACGAAGGATTAGTTCACATTTGGAAAATAGCTGCAAATTTCCGAACGGAATAAAAAATACGCTTTTTAGGGTATTTTTCACCTAATATATTTTAAACCAGTGAGCGGAGCAGTATAGTCGGAGGGGGCCGACCATATGATACCATACACAACTTTCACGAAAATCTAACTTTCTGTGGTTCTGTATACTGAGCATGGGCAATATTTCGATATATTTCCACACTCTTGACCGATTAGAGGTCAACCAATATTACCAATATTCAGAACAACCCTTCTAATTTCTTGGCCATATTCCATTCACCGTGGGTTGTCTTGCGATGTTAGGCTTTCAATTTTGGCCTATAGATCGACTCGAAATAATACAAAAAATTAAGTTCTCGGTCCAGTTCATCCCAAAATTATTATCTGATCATCAGCGAAAATTATAGGCGTTGTCCTTGAACATACATGGATCCTCATGGAAAATTTCAAAGCGATCAGAGCTATATTTCAGTCCTCTAGTGTGATAATGGGTTACTACATAATATCTGAATACGTGAGAACCTGTAAATATTTAAGTGTAACTCCCACATCCAAGTACATACAACCATATAATTGGTATCAATTTAAAGGTCAACCACTCCTCTTGAATATACTATCAACTTCTCGGGTCTATGTCCTTCGGGAGTTAATATATACGCCATAGAATACAAATTTTGTACTTTTTTACACAAAAGTCAGGGTCCATTTGATCTGCAAAATACTGATCGCTCTTTATCAAAACAGGCATGCTCATTCTTTGGCCCGATCCCCTAATCCATGTAAAATTGCGGGCCATAATTGCGGCCTCTGGAGCGACCAGAAAACCCGACAAAAATTTAGTATTTGGTCCATTTCATCCCCTAAATATTAACCGATCTTTACCAAAAACAATAGGGGTCTTCGTTGGCCAGAACCCATTCTTTATGCAAAATTTCGTGAAGATTGGTCCATAACTGTGGCCTGTATCGTGTTTACAAATTATAATGGACAGACGGGCAGACGGACACACATGAGTAAGTTTCAAGAAGGAAGTGGACCTTTTTGTTGGCAATTAAAATTTAAAATATTTTACAGGGCCCAATCATAGTTAGAGTCGTATTCAAACATGTTTATAATTTGCTAAACCTAGTATAATGTTAATAGAGTTTTCATTAGTTTATTGAAAACTGTTAAACATTTTAATTAAATTACATATGCTATATAAAATATTAACGCCTTAAAATATGCTACACATGGAATAAATAGATAAATACAAGTAAAGGGATTCAGGTACACTGAGAAAAATTACAATAGAAATAAATAAGTAAAAGTTCCTAAATTCGACTGAGTAAAACTTTTAAAAAATTTCACCATAAGATGACCGTGCAAAGTATGTAAAATTGGTCGGAACCTTTATATGGGGACACTGTTAAGAACTTGAAGAGAATCCTTTACAATGATGTTTTTATTTTGTAAGGACATTATTTCATCTCAGTGTACAAATTATGTATTTATTATTAATTTTCACTTACCTTGCGAACAATCCGGTCCAGTCCAATGACGTTCACACACACATTGACCAGTCTCTAAATCATATGTACCATGCTCCGAACAACCAGGCAAACATTGATATACCTGCTGATCAATGGTGCCACAATCTTCACCTTGCCAACCGGCCTTACAATAACATTGGCCAGCCACACATGTACCATGACTTGAACATAATGGATCCAGGCAATCGTCTACAAAATGGTTGGATAGATAAAAACAGGACACGGACAGGCAAACGGGTTAGTGTGTGAATACAGAGAAAAAAAGGATGAAAAAGATAAGGAAAACATTTGGTTATTATTCAAAAATACAAAATAACCGGATATCAATATAAACTTAGTAAGAAATGTAGAGGGATTGACAGCGAGAGAGATCATCAGATTTGAACAAAAACAAATATTAGCATGTTTAACACGTTCCAAGAACAAAGGTCATTAAAAACCAACTTCGAATTACCAGCAATTGCTTTGAACAGATTGTTTGTTAGTCTTGGAGTTAGTTGTAAAGGCTACAACATATGTTGGCTTTAAAATTACAATACATCTATTGTTATTGCAGGGTTTTGGTTTTTTACAACAATTCCTTTTTTGCCAAATGGCCAAATGTTTGTCTTAAGGACAATTTTGCTTTTGTGGCATGTCAAAGGAAAAACAAACACACAAACATTCATTCATCCATTCATTTCTTACTTTTTGTTTGTCCTGGAGCCAAGCAGGCGGCGCCAGTTATGCTACCTTAAATTCATTTCTTTTCCTTCCATTTGTTTGTAAATCGTTTGCTTTTTACTTACGTTGATCACAGAAAGGTCCCTTCCAGCCACGTTCACAGTGGCATTCACCTTCAATGCACCGGCCATGACTTGAACAATTCGGCACTTCACATTCACCCACTGGTATATCGCATTCAGAGCCCTTCCAGCCCTCCTCACAGTGGCATACACCACCGCCATAGTGACCATGAGCTGAGCATAATACTGGACAAACGCCTGCAGAGAATGAAAGAAAACACAAGAGAAGAAGGATTTAGTTTATTTGTTTCTTTGATTTCATTTTGTTGGGAAAACTAAAAAAAGAAAAACAACAGCAACAACTACAAAAACTGAAAGGAAAATTCAATTCAAGTAAAGAACAATAACAATAACAAAAAAGAAAAGTTATTGCAAGTAACACTGGTTGGTTGTCGTCAACAACAATCCAAAGGATATGGCTTTCTGGCCAGTTGTACAGGTACACACAAAAAGGATATTTGTTTTTTTCAGGTGTGTACGTGTGTGTGTGCTGTATGTGCAATATATTGTTGCAAGAAATTTGTTGAAAACAATATTACTTTTTTGTTATTGTTGGTTATTTTTGTTTGTCTTCCTTGTTTGGGGAAAACTATAGTTTTTTTCTACACCGTTTGAAGAAAAACAGGTGACGTTGACAGCTTTTGTTTATTTTTTCAATACAGGTTCTTTTTTTCTACTTGGACACTGAGGCAGGCAGCTAGCTAGGTAGCATAGTTGGCTAACATTTGCAAGGGTGATAAATAATGACTTGAAATTTTATTACAACAAAGTAAATAAACAAGTGTTAACTTTGCCCCTGAGAGTATGCTATAGTTTTTTGTCAGCGGTAGTTGTTTTTTCCAACGCCATAAAAATGGATTTAAAATTCTTTACAAATAAGAAAATTATTTAGCTCTCAATGTCCAATTGAATGGCAATAATTAACGTTGATGATAATAATCGAGCAAAAGGACTTGACTAAAGGATACATAATTTTTAATGGGATTTTTTTTGCAATTTTCTTTATTGTTGTCGTAAACTTTGTTTATGTTGTGGAAATTAATTGAGAGATTAAAATGAAGCTTTTGAAATGGGATCTTAGTGGGAAAGAAAAATAAATATAGGAAAAAGTTGGGTAATACAATCGTTTGTAGACTTTAAAATTAGAAAAAATACGTCCGTGATGGAAACAGCACATATTTGAGATCAGTGAAACAAATAAATTTGGTGTGATATGTTCCGGTGTAATGGTGAAATGAGTCCTTTTTAGGCTCTAAAGATACGCGTTTCAATAAGTTATCCGTAAAGTTAAAATAGTATGCTCTAAATATAATTGCATATTCTTTTTCTTATCTCGTAGACGTAATAAATAATTTGAGTTTAAAAATACCATCAATGCGATACATAACGCCTGAACTTATACTACAAAATCTAAAGGACACACAATTCTGTAAAATGAATATCTGTGGGAGTATTACGCATAATTTTAGACTGAGAGGATATAGTCTTTTGGATATGCATAAAGTAATACACTTACGCCCAAAAGTATGCTTGAAAAACAAATGAATATTCTTTATTGTCTCTTGGACCAATGCCTTCCTAGAGCTTGGGGACTAAAATATTGTTAGTCTTAATTTCAGAACATCAAACAGTGATATAAATTTTCTATTTGACGCCTGAAAGTGTACTACAAATTCATTGGTACACAGTACAGGATTCAAACATTATCGATGCGATAACAGGCTAATAGGCTTACGCCCAAAAGTATGCTTGAAAAACAAATAAATATTCTTTATTGTCTCTTGGACCAATGCCTTCCTAGAGCTTGAGGACTAAAATATTGTTAGTCTTAATTTCAGAACATCAAACAGTGATATAAATTTTCTATTTGACGCCTGAAAGTGTACTACAAATTCATTGGTACACAGTACAGGATTCAAACATTATCGATGCGATAACAGGCTAATAGGCTTTAATGCGATAATAGGCTTTAAAATGCGGACTAAAATCTTGTTAGTCTTAATTTCAGAACATTATACAGTGATATAAATTTTCTATTTGACGCCTGAAAGTATACTACAAATGCATTGGTACACAGTACATGATTCAAACATTTATCGATGCGATAACATTTAATTAAATACAATTATGCCTAAAAGTAGGCTTTAAAATGCATATGAAGATTATTTTAATTGGGATTTTTAAATTTATTTATATTTTTGTAGGACGAAGTATCTATTTATGGAAATTAACCTCAACTAAAAAAAGGTATACCCAAAAATCAAATTAGCTTTATTTTCGTCTTATTGCTCTTTTTCACTTACTTTTCGAACAATCAACACCCTGATAGCCATCAATGCAATCGCATTTACCCAAATAGCAACTGCCACGACCGGAACAATCATTGGGGCAAGTTGTGCTAACGCCCTCAGCTTCTTCGACAATCAACGTTACCGAATGTGAGACCAATTCATCATTGTAAACGGATATAAACCATAAGCCGGTGTCCAAATATTGTAACAGTGAGACGTTCACCATCATTGTGTCCATATCGAGTGCGGGCAGACCACCATCCATGCCCGCGGCGGAACGTTTATCACGATGTTGGCGATATCTTAAACGTTGGGCATATTGTTTACCCGTGTCCAACGGTGTTTCAACATCTCCCGCATATTCAAATGATGCCGAGGACGATTCAAATGAATCGCCATTGTCAGCATCAGCATCATCGTAGCCATTCTCATCATCGTCGGTTTCAAAGCCATCGCCATCGTTATCATTCCCATTGCCATCATTAAAGTAATGTCGCCTTGCCGCGACAGATAAACGTTGCAAATGTTCTGCGGATGTTTCCATTGATAAATCACCATTCTCCGTCTCCAGATCCTTGTGCAAAGCAGCATAAATGCTATCATTTGCCGGCGAGCGTGCATTACGTCTATGCCTCAAATGGCTATCGACACGACCGCCTTTGATAAATTCAACAAAATCATATTGTGTTACAGATGGTGCTACATTGCGACGTGAATAAACGGCAAAATTCGCGCCCCAGGGCAGGGTGAAATTGAAACGAACAAAAGCGGGATGTTTGTTACGGAATTCCAATGTCCAGAATTGATACGCGGGTATATTGGCATGATACAACTCATTGAAATCCTTCAGTTCGACTACCTGTGGCCACTTTAAGAGAGGTTGATGATGATGCTGCTGCTGTTGTTGTTGTGCCGTATACGATTGGTCCTGCAGATGCGGCAATGTGGCATCCTGACCCAACATTATGTTGCTGTTAATGCCCAGTCCGCCGCCAATTTGCTGATTGATAGAGTGTGGTTGTTGTTGCTGTAGCAATAGCTGTTGTTGATGTTGCAACTGCAGCGAGGGAGCCAAATTCTGAAAGCCACCCGACATCATGCCGCCCAAGCCAATGCTTGAACTATGATCGAGGGTACTGGTCTGTATTGATTCTTCTGTGGGATATGCCGTCGGTTGTAAACTATTGCCGTTGAGGATGTTTGTTTTTGCATTGCCATGTAAATCATGGGGTTGTGATTTAACATCTTGGACTAGGATACAATTTGTGGTATCCATGTTGGGCTTCATTGAGCTTACAGCTGTAAAGAAAGGAAAGGGGGGGAGAGAAACAAGAACATTAATATAAAATTCCGCTTCGTTTGGCAAAAATGCAAAAAAAATCGTTAAAAATATAAATTTCAAATATATGTGTGTTTTTAACATATATAAAAAAAAAAATCTGCTGATCTTTCATAAAAACCAAGCATATTAACATATGCTAATGCCCGCACACACACACACTTTTACATCCAAAAATAACCATTGTAAACCGTAAGAACCACAAGTTAGACAATAAATCTTAATGTTAGTGGTAAGCACATTGGCAAATTGCATAGACCAAAAGAAAAAAACTACCCCAAAATGTATGCAATAATAGAACGTACACCACAAAATAGGCAATGCTTTTGTGGTGCAATAATTTTACCACACAAAACTTTGCACAACTTTGCCAATAAATGCTAAATGCATTCAATACCATTAAAGAAGGAGAAGTCGGGACAGTGAGAGAGGTAGAAAAAAAAACCAACGATAAATGGCAAAAAACAAGGCAATCTTTAAAATTCAACGACTGTTAAATTTTCGGTGAAGGGAAGGCATGAAGAAAAGGGTTGAAGGAATTTTTTTTTGTCGGCAAATTTCCATCTTTTGTTTCTCAATCATATAGATTTTGTTGCAAAAGCAATGACCAAATTGTCGAAACGTGTTATATTTTCTCTTTGTTCTTCTCCCCAGTTCTTTTTTGTGAAACATAAATCATAATTTTGCAAGCATGTTTTAGCCAGTTATCGATAAAGTGTGTGTGTGTGTTTTTTTAGTAAAATTTGCTTGCCCTGGCAGTTTTAAGAGATTTGGATTTCATACCTTACACTATGTAATGTGGGGTATATCGAAAATTTGGATGGTTTTTATACCCAATTCTGAATTGTAGGGATGGTGATATCAAATTTTCCGAGAGTGGCGTCATGTGTCCAAGAGTGGCGTCAAGGTTAAAAAACTATATTTTTAAATATTCGAGTACAGTTGCAAAAAATAAAAATTTTGGATGAAACTCAAAGTCTTCAAAATTTGGGATATACAAAAATGTGTCTTCACTTCAATCGTAATTTCTTGACATGAGTTGAGTTAAGGAAATATGTATTGAGTATTCAATTCTTTTTTTTCGATTTTGAGAATTCCATCAGATGCTATGTAGATCCCCAATTCGTGCTCATTTTTATTAATATCAATATTGTATAGTTTAAGTCCATGCAAAATTTTGTATCCAATATCCACAGTATTGGATTATTAGGGTCCTGATCAGCTGAAAGTGGCAACGATTTCCTGCAACAGTTTAGACGAACAAGGTCCATCTATCTACAAGAGATCGTTAAAGGAGAATCTGTGGCGTAGATATTATTAAGCGACGTTCTGTCTACAGAAAAGGTTAGAAGTGAATTTTTTAATAGGGAATATGTTGTCAAATTTCATTTTTTATGCCGATAGCCCTATAATATCATATGCAGGATCCTAAGCTGTTGTGGTGAGAAAGGTATCCTGTAAAGAATAGACAATTTGAAGCACTTTTGGCAATAGAAAATCCGATAAAGGCAATCTGTTTGAAGAGGCTTGTTGAAGAGCGGTTGAAGAGTTATACCCCGCAGAAGAAGGACAATTTGAAGCACTTCTGGCTACAAAAAAAAATCGCATAAAGGTATATCTTTAATGAGGCTTCCAGAAGATTTTGTTTTGTGTCTATATAAGATCGAAAATATATTGTTCTTTATTTTAAAGAACCGCATGATAAGACCTTTCAGAATATTATTTAAGAAACTTGACGAAGATTTTCCGGCTTTAAGAGAATTGAAAAATAGGTAAATAATAGAAATCTCCTGTCCATATTCAGGAGTCTTTTAGAGGGCATTTTTGTCCAGTAGAGGTTATTCTGAACATATACAAAATATATTATATTAGCGATGAAGGCTCTGTATTTTGTGCCAGAAATTATACGATTTTCTATTAAGAGAAGATCGGTAGAAGTCATTATTTTTACAAAGATTTTTAGAAGGCAATGGAGGGACTTTTGCTTATGGAAGGATAAGCTAAGTTTCCCAGAAAGCAATCTAAGGACTTTTAGTTCTGAAAGACCCGTTGAAAACATTTCATTGTCCCTAAGCTACGGCTATATTTTGTAGAATATTTTATATGAATATAAATAATCCGTAGAAGGTTTTTTATGACATAAAATTGCTTACGTATTTTTTTCAATATATAGGCGAACCTTATTTTTTTCAAATTTTTGTATTTTTAAAAACTTGTTGAAGATTGGTTGAAGTTATTTTTTTTAATAAATTAGAGACCCATTGATTTAATCCGTATTACGTATTTTTCAATATATAGACGAACCTTGATTCTTTTTTTCAAATTTTTGTATTTTTAAAAACTTGTTGAAGATCGGTTGAAGTTTTTTTTTTTTAATAAATTGGAGACCCATTGATTTGTATCCCCCAATTTGCCTTAATTTCGCACAAATGGTTCTCTTTTGGGTTCTTAGAAATGTCATTCATTTCAAGTTTCCTAATTGGCTCCAATTTAATTTTTTCCGCTTCTCATAGAGTATCAAATCTTCCTTCAAAAATTATCAATATCCGTCAATATTTTGTTTTGCTTCCATATAAAAGTAACACCAACTTTCGATATTTTGGGAGCCGTATTTCATCCGATGTACCTGTAATTTGGCATAGAGGGTTCTCTATTAGATTCTTGGAAATGATATGAACTTCAGGTTTTCCTTGTATTTTTAAAAACTTGCTGAAGATCAGTTGAGGTTTTTTGAAAAATTGTAGATCCATGAAATTTTCTTAAGAATTCTTCTAGCGATAATATTTTTTTTAATCTTTAAGAACCCATTGGTATTTTTGCTAACCCAATTACTTTGCAAGAAAATCCTTAATACATTTTTTCTTGCTTATGTAAACTGCATTGACGTTTTCCCCCCAAAATACAATTTATTTCCCTTAATGAAGGGTATTCTGCAATTCATCCATGCCAAACTTATGCATCCCTTATTTTGCATATTTTATTATAATGGGCATTTTATCATATTTCAAAACTTACTTTCTGTTCAGTTCTGTTCTTCCCTTCTTTCTTTTTTTGAAATCGTTTGCATTTTATTTTTGTTCCATAAATAACAAATGGAGTGTTGCAGTCATTTCTAACCGAAAAATTTGGAGGTTTCATTTTCACATTTATTGCGCATAATTTATTGAAGGGGGGAGGGAGCACCCCTCCCTCCTCCCTTTGGAACGAATATAAAACTAAACGTTTAACTTGTGTAAACTTTTTTTGAGTTTTTTGCTTACAACCAAACTCTTGACCTGGTATAATCGATAGCAGGTTATTTATTTGAATATTTGTTTGAGTTGGAAGACAACTCTGTATGTAGGTAGGTCATTCATATTCATATTTTGTGTGTGTGTGATAGTGCGAATACAAACAAAACAAATTTATGATTGTTTTCACCATTTTCCACAAACACAGACAAATGTATATTTTTTCACAAAAATGAAAATGCGTTTCATTTTTGTGGAGTTAAGGATATTTGCTTTGTTGTTGTTATTATTGTTTTTTTTTTTCAGAAGAGACAAAGAGAAACTCCGTCTGTTTGTCTGCCTGACTGTGGGTTTGTGTGCTCACGTTTTGTATGTATATTTGTTTTACGTTTCTGGGTTAAACGGAAGTGTGTCAAAAGTTTAATATTTATTTTTTTGTTTTCCAAATTTCTTTGTTGTTATTATTTTTGATTTAGTTTTGGCTTGACTCCTGATTTCTCTCTTTTCCCTTTTATTGTTTCATCGTTTTTTTACTCTTTAGTGGCGGGTTCATGTTTTATTAAAAAACAATATTTGTTTGTTCAAACGAAAAATTTCACTCTTTTTTGGTTGGTTGTTTGAAAGAGATGCGGAGCAATAAAAAAACACAACAATCGGTTATAAATCTTGTTTTAATTGGAAACGCATATATGTGGAAATATTATTGCCACTACAGTTGTTGTTGCTACTGCTGCTGACATTGTCAAAATGCCCAAAAATGTTAATTAATCAAATGGATTTGTTTGCAAATGAAATTATATTTAATTAAATTCTGCTAACAGGACAACAACAATAACAAAAAATAGATGACAATGAAACAACAAAAATTCGACAGCTGTGATGGACATGCATACATAAATATATTTTAAATGCGGAGAATTTTGAATTTTTGGCTGACCTTAAAATTCAACTGTCATAAATAGTAATCACTTTTTCTATCACAACAAAAATATTGACAGATTATTGTAGTACCACAAATTCCGAACCGAATGCGTTCAAATTTAATTTCTCCAGTGCTCATGGAATAAAAAATCGTCTATCAAAAAATATATATCGAAGGCCGCATTTCTTCCAATTTGCCTGTAATTTGACTTGACCACTTCAAGCTTCCGAATTTTTTATCACCATAAAACTGTTGCCAGATTATTAAGTGGTAGTCCCATATATTCCTAACCGGATTGGCTCTAATTTAATATTTCCGATCGGTTCAGATTTAGATATAGCTTCCATATATATTATCGTCCGATTTAATGTAAATGGTCCACCAAATACCCTATATATCTTTCGATTTGCACGAAATTTGACACAGCGTACTTTATTAAGTCTACAATGATGTGTGCAGAGTTTCGTGAAATTCGGTTCAGATTTAGATATAGCTCCCATATATAATTTCACCCGATTTTAGATAAATAGTCTACCGAAGACCCTGGAAATCTTTTGATTTGCACGAAATTTGGCGCAGAGTAATGAATAAAATCGAGAATGATGTCTGCCAAGTTTCGTGAAAATCGTTTCAGATTTAGATATAGCTCCCATATATATTTTCATCCGCTTTATGGTAATTGGTGCACCAAAACCCTATATATCTTTCGATTTGCACGAATTTTGGTATATGGTACTGAATTAAGTCTAAAGTGGCTAAGTTTCATGAAAATCGGTTCAGATTTAGATCTAGCTAACATATATAGTTT